GGTGTAAAGAATACATCTTATTTATTAATTTTTCCCCATCTAAATACTGCTGCTTTGGGCTAAAGCCCAGAAAACTTGAGCCCAAACAAAGTTTATGCGAGCCTTTAACAAAAAAACACGTATAACATTAAAAATATCATATTTTTGTTCAAAAACTTAAAAAATATGTCTTTAAATTTATTTTTTTTAAAATACCTCATTTTCATTAAAAATCAATCTTTTACTTTCACCTCATTGTATATTTTTTTCTAAAATATACCCCCTTATCATTTAAAATTAATATTTTAAGTTTTCATTAAAATCAACATTTTTTACGAATTACATGTTAAGAGTAACATGTGTTACTTGTAGAGTACCGTGAAAATATTTCAGTTTCTTATTTAAAAAGTATTATTTTAGGATAATATATGTAATTACTGTATGTTATCATAAATCTTTCTCTTATCTTTTACATTTTTAATGTCTCATAATTTTTCTTTAAACAGGGATCTTGTGGACAAATTAAAGAAAATTCCCAACATCAATTTGAAATTCCCTTTTAACTTTTAAGGGTACCGAATACCCTTTGCTCTGGAGTGCAAGTTTCAAAGATGCCCATAGTTTTCATACAAGTGATAAGCTGATAGCTGCAAATCTGAAAACGATGTTGGAATTCCCTTTGTACAAAATTTTAACCATCAATTTTACACAATCGACCTAACAAAGATGTTTTTGGTGCCCCTCGAATGTTAGAATAGGTTGCGAGTATATGATCAAATGGGAACTTCTTGAAATTTTTCTCGCAATAAATTTCTTTCTTCTTCCTATAATTCCCATCATGTGCTGATGCTCTAGGAGCCTTACCGCCAAAAGCGAGAGTGATCTTTCCTTTCTCTTTGCAGGTAACATGACTCCAGTTCACAACTTCGAGTACCTTAACCTTTTCAACTCCCATTATGAAATTTGAGATCGAGCATGTAATTGTCCTAATCAAAAGGATAATTATGAAATTTTAATGGGAGTTGACATGGAAGAAGCTTTTTGAAAATGGGATTGTGGCCTTCTCAGGGGGTTACCATGTTGAATTTTTACCTCGCCAAGCCAAGGACCTAGGCTGAGAAGATACTAGTGGTCCAGGGACCAGGGCCATTTATCCTAGATCTCGACCAACCTTTGGTGACCACGTGCCTTATTCTAAGGAGGTAAGGTGTCAGCGTAAGGCATAGATTGATGTTGACATGGGCGAGTTAGGGATAATCTTTCTCGGCAACCAGCCACTTTATTTTTACCTATCAAAATAACCACGGCTAGACAAGAAGTTTCGAGCCTTTCCTATACTAGAAAACTTATTCTAAATCACAAAACCAATCTCTTCTTTCTCTCTCTTTCATATAGTGCAAGGAGTCGGAGTTATTAGAAGGCGATTATTGCTCGAGTAAAAAATGCAAGTGATTGGATCCGTTCTCCGGTACATAGTCTCGGCTGGAAAAAGTTTCATTCCTATGACTTGAGACTGAAGGCACGGAAGGCTGAATCTAGGGGTGCGCAAAAGAACTAGTTCGATTCAATTCCATTATAAGAAAACTATTGGTTCTCGACTTCGTTCCAACATGGGTGGAATCAAATGAGCATGCAGTTTTGTTCTTTCACACAAGACTTCGACAGTACGAGAAAAATGGAAAGGCAAAAACAAGGACAAGGTGAGTCTTACCTTTAAATTTGCATATTTAAAACAATACTTTAACTTAAAATGAAGTAATTAAATTCATTTTAAGAATTTTTCTTCGGCTAACTATTTGAGTCCATTTCTTAGCATTTTTCATTACAAAAATATCCGGTGTATAGTTGGTCGCGATACTAACAATTAAGAATAATACCTTGAAAATAATCTAAAATAGGCAATGACTACAAATTAGGAGCATGTTTGAGAGTGATTAAAATCCAATTAAAATTGAAAATATAGTCGTTATTGGGTCCCACTCGTCTAATATAAGTCAACAATAACTGTTAGTTTTTCAATTTTAATTCGACTTTAATTTCTACTGAACACGCCCTTAGATGTTTCTCTTTGTGTCTCTGTAGTGTGCCGGCGCCTTGATCATATCTCCAGACATAATTTTTTTTGCAGATATTGCATACTGTTTTTTCATCATTTTCATTTACTATAAAAATTTGCTACACCTCTGATATTTGTTTTTTTTCCCTTGAATTTTGAGATGATCCAACTTCTACAACATTATTATCTTCTAAATCTATTGGTGAGCAACTATAATTGAAAATAGGATTTTCAGAAGAAAAATCATAAGAATCCATAATATAGTAGTATTAAAACAGTTTAGTAGTAAGAAGAAAGAAATATAATAGAGATGATAATGATATTTGCAATTGAATAATTGTAATTACAGTAACAAGATTAATTTTTTGGAAGGCAGTAATAAATATAATTTTTTAGAAGGCTTCAAGTGAGATAAATATTACCAATTGACTGAAATTTATAGATAAAATGATGATTTTACCGTTAGAAAAAAATAATAAAAAAAAAGAACGAACAACGAAGAGCTAATGGTTGGCTCTTCGTTCATAGCATGCAGGCTACGCCAGGTATAGCCTGCAAGCTGGCACCTGCCTGCTAGCTTGCTGCAGGCTGCAGCAAAGCTAGCTGGCTCTCTCCCTTCCCATTTTTTTCAAATTTAAAAATTTTTTTCA